TTATTTTTTCAGAAAATAACTATATAAAAAAAACTGTTGTTGATTTTATTTGATTTTTTGGCAATATATTTTGTTTGTCCTTTTTTAATTCCTTTTAAAAAAGAATATTTTTTTTATAATTTTAATTTTTTATTCAACTTTTTTAGGTTGCATATATTTAGGGCCCGTTTGGATGAGCTTAATAAAAGCAGCTTTAAAAAACTACTTTTGAAAGTGCTAAAATTTATTTTTAAAATAAGCAGTTATGCGTTTGGATAAAAGTGCTGAAGTTAAAAAAAAAGTTGTTGATGTGTTTGGCAAATAAATGTTGATAAACAGCTTTTTAAATCAAAATGTCTGAAATATCCTTAAAAGCTGTTAACATAATAAAAATTAATTAATTTATATTTTATAGCCATAAATAATTATATTTTGCTATCATTCACATATTTCTTTCTCATCACAAATTATTTATAAGAGGAATATAAACTTATTATAGATTTTAAAGATATATAATTTGAATAGATTAAAGAACGATTTACAATTTTATTTTAGTTTCATCCATAGGTAATAATAATTGTTTATCATTCACATATTTCTTTATTATCACAAATTATTTATAAGAGGAATATAAATTTTTATTTAAGTTATATGTGCAACTTATTTTACATTTTAATAATATATAATTTGAATAGATCACTTGAAAGATTTAAGATTTATTTTATTTTCATTCATTAGTAATAGTAATTGTCTATCATTCACACGTGAAAAGGGAAAAATAGAAGAAAGAGATGTTAGGGTTATGTAGGTAATTTGGAGATTGTATAAAAATATTAAGGGCAAAAAAGTAAAAATGTGGTCAACTTAAAACAGCTTATAAGCTAGGAAAAAAAAACATCCCTACCCCAGCTTTTAACTTTTGGCTTAAAATAAGTTTTTTTTAACTTAAAATAAGTTGTTTTGAGTATTGCCAAACAGCTAAATAAGTCAAAAACCAACTTTTAAATCAGTTTGACCAGTTTTTAAGCTGAGCTAAACAGGCTCTTAATTTAAAGTCAAGATAAATGAATTGAAGAAATGATAATAGATTTGCTTATTGATGGTTACATTACATTACACTAAAAAGAAGTTGATTATTGATTAGTCATACCAAATTGATTAAAATGAAAAAAAAAACATTTATATTTCAAAATTTACTTTAAAGTCCAATTTGATTTATTAAGTACTTTTATTTATCAATCATTTTATGATAATTTAACATATAATACCTAATGGAGTAATTAATAATTATTTATAGACTGATAGTAGAAAAGAAGAACGAATAATGAAAGGGAAGACGAGGGAGTAACGATTGCTATGAGAAATTTAATTTTGTAATTCACTATAAATTTGTTTTTTACTTTTTTTTATAGTTATATATTATTACAAAAATTAGGTCAAATTCATAAGGAGATTTCTAAACTTGTTGGGTTTTTCCTCTCAGATACCTTAGCTATGTCATTTTCCTATCGAATCATTGAACCCAATAATTTGTTCATTTTAAACAAACATCGTTGTCTGATGTGAAACCAGATTTATGAGGGGTATTGATAAAGGATACATATGTTTTTCCACAACTCATTAGTCCAACCGAAGTGAAAATGTTCGAGAATAATTGTGTTTTACTTAAGTCATTTGAACACATTAGAAAACAAATGAGACTAACACGGGTTGTCTTCATTCCTTCAATCAAAATCATTACAATTCAAACACAATTGAAGGCATTTACAATAGAAAAGCCGATCAAAATCAACCAACAGCGTTTTAAAGAAACAAATTATGGGTGATTCAATAAAAAAATGACGTAGTTAAGGTACCTGAGAAAACCCCCCAACAAATTTAGGAATCTGTTTATGCATTTGGCCCAAAAATTATAATCTTTTCCTTTCTTAATTTTGTTTTATACTAACTTTACTACATACATTAAGACGAATGAAGTTGATAAACTGTTGGCGAAGAAGGTGGATAGTGAATGAGATTGTTCCTCAGAGATTTTATTTTGAGTTGGGACTATAAAAAAATTCAATTCAACTTTAGTCTGAGTATTAAAAATCGAAAATCAAAAATATTTATCAAAATTTAGTTAACCAAATTTTCTTTTCATAAGTCTTATAAGCAGGTAAACTTCTACCAAATTAAAGTTCAAAGTCTCTAGTATTGTAGACGTTAAGAGTGAAGGATGAAATCAAATAGCTTTGAGATTATATTATAATGCCATTTAAGTTGTTGTTTAATTGATAAATCTGAAATAACTTATCCCGAAATAATAATTAATAGTGGGATAAATTATCCCTCTCGGGTGATATAGTAATCTAGGGATAACTAATCTCGAATAAAACAAGTAAATAACTATAATATCTCTTTAAAGTTTAAACCCTTTATATATCATTATTTACATTCATGAAAAATATTTTTATAAATAAAAATAAATTAATCTTTAAATTTATGCGATGCATATTATTTTAAATTTATCAAATCAAACACTTAAGAAAATAATCTCACAAGAACTTTTTCTATTATAAGCTATACATACAAATCTATTTACGGATCTATATGCTTTGATTGGAACTGGAAGTTCTAGAACAGGTGGCTGATATATCACAATAATCAAATTTTCTTTTCTTTTTTTTTTATTCGGATCGGATTTGTGTTGGCTTCGTTGGGAGGCTCGCGTAGTTTGTTATGTCAGCTCCAAAAGGATAAGTTGCATGGAATTGATAAAGTTCCGTGGAGTTCATAATTGCATAAAAGGAGCCAAAGTAGTGGCTGCGGCGCGTTGAGGCACTTCTTCGACGGTCCCGTACGCCTGTCCTGTCGGCCCGCTCTGAAGAATTCATGATTTATATATGTTTCAGGCCGGTGAGAGGAAGTGCGGAATAAGAATTGATTTCACTGTATCCATCGTAGTCCACCCCATCTACCTATTGTCGGAGGTCAATTATTGCTCCATCTCTCGAAATTACAATCTCTATCGAGTCGGAAAGGAATGAGTATAACTTTGAATTCTAGTTCCTTTTCTAGTAAGTATACAAAAATGAGTTATGACTTTTAGATTGCTTTGATATTAGCTTTTGGCATTTAAACGATGTATTAATCATCAAATAATGTGACGAGACACGTAAAATTCTTTCCCTCTTATTTAAAAATCTCTAATACAAATTTAAATATAAAAATATATAATGATTAAATAAACACTCGATCTAATAAATTCCACTTAACGTATATTTTATTTAACATAAGGCCCAAATAGCAAGTCACAATCGAGACAACATAAAGTTAGATATATTGGTTTGAACTCAATAATTTCAGTTAGAATGTTATGTGCATCTTAATAACTTCTTACGTAACAAAATATAAATAACTGATTTTAAACCACCAAATCAAATGAATTATAATAAAATTTCAATTTACATTTATAAAGTTCAAATTTTCTTATTCGATTACGATCCTTTTAAGGATGAAATCCACTGAGTTGTCTATCTTTTTCAATTGATAAGAAATTAAGTGGGCCAAACAAAAAGAGAAGAAACAAAAGTTGCAGCGTGAAGGACACTGGGCCTCATTTTATAAGTCATCAAAGGCTGCTTCTGCTAAACTTTGTCAACTCTCAAAACAAAAAATAATAATAATAAATAATCCAATCTTAGTATAATTTAATTTCGATTCATATTTTTACTTTTAAATATTAAATATGCACAAATAGATATTTAAATAGATACACATAACAAATCACACAATTTGCCATATATTAAAAAAATAATGAGATTATAATTAAAAAAATATTTAAATCTTAAAATCCGACTCGATAACGCACATAATATGCAAAATCTATTCTCAATTCTCGAAGGAGGGTCCATTAATCCCATGTTCTTATTTGGAAGATTTTATATTCCCTTAAGAAGACTTTATTCAACGACTTCACCACTGAACTATTAGTGGCTGTTAATATTCTCTTTTAAAAAAATAGATTGGAACTGTTAAATTAAAAATTCGAAAGAGGGCTAAGTTGAACTTATCCTTTTAACTTGATCATAATTGAGATTTATACTCTTTAATTTTTGATGTGTATAAATAGATAATTAAATTTTTATCGAGTTGAACAAATAGATATATATATATATATACTACGTGACATAATACACGTAAAATGTCATGTAAGATCGTAAATTGCCACATAGGACGCGTGTGTTTACTGGTTTAATTATAGAGTTAAGTGACTACTACTTGTACATATACAAAATTAGAGGACATAGATATAAAATGAAACCAAAGTTAATGGACATTTTACTTATTTATGTGTTTTGATAATGTAGGTACTTATTTAAGTTTATCATCATTCATTTGTGGTGTCACCAGAAAAAACACTATGCCTTATAATGAAATAAAAGTATTAAACCTTGCCTTTTTGCTTATGAAAACACAACTACTATATCACTTCTTTTTGTTGATAATTTTGCCTTTAACATTACTTCATTATACTAATGTCAAATACAGTTTTGGTGATGGCTGACTCTAGAACAATATTTTTCAATGTTTGTTGACCACAAAGTTTGGTTAATTTACCTATAATTTTCAATTTTGTTGACCACAAAATTTGGCTAATTTTCCTTTAATTTCAATGTGTTTGACCACAAAGGTCGAATTCATTGAACTTTTTGTATGTTTACTTTTTTATATTTTGTTTCCCCCGATAAATGGCTTAGCTCTGCCACTACGGATACACACATAAAAATAGAACTTTGGAACAACCACATTTGCTCATAGTTACATCAATTTTTAATTTATCCATTGTTCAACTGAAGAGAACTTCACATTCACTATTAGAAACGTAGACTTTTTTCAGTCGCAAATCAATGAAAAATTTGTAGTATGATTCATGATTTTCCCACCAATTTCCCATCGAACCAACTCAATGGGAAAAGCATGGTTCCTAAGTTTTACGTGTGAAAGACTACTATTCAATCAAAATATCTGTAAAAATAGCTACTGAACATTTTATTTTGAAATATTTCAATGGAAAAACAGTGGTTTTTTAGTCGTGATTATGCAATCGGAGTCTTTATAGACTAGAACTGCTACAAAGAGGTAACACAAAGAAAACGAGAAAACAATGTACATTAGAGTTTGCAATGGTAGTTCAAATCAATATCTAGGTGCATTCACCACTATATAGAAGTGGAAATGGTGAAGTAGAAAAGGAAACATAATTAGTACTATTTTCATCTCCATTAGACAAACATGTAAATGAACTTGACTTGATCATAAAACTAGTCGATGCTAAAGAATTCCAACGTTCACTTTCAACGAATCCAAATCCTTCAAGATCATCAGAACCTTGTGTTGATGGAGCCTCAGGCATCCCGATTTCACCTTCCAAGTATCGTACAACTTGCCTAATGCTTGGTCGCGCCAATGGCTTGCTATTTGAGCACATTAGTCCCAATTTTAACACCATCAAAACTTCAATCACATTGTATTCGCCTTTCAATCTTTAGTCCACAATGTCAAGTATGTTACCTTCTCTCCATTTATCCCACACCAAATCCACGAGTACAAACTCCTCGGGTCCTGCTTTGTGTTCAATTGGCCTACGTCCACAAACCACCTCGAGTAACAAAGCACCAAATGCAAACACATCAGTCTTTGTAGTGGCTCGTCCTGTTCTTGGTAATTCTGGTGCAAGGTACCCTAATGTACCTACAACTTTAGTCGTGGACGGATTAGAACCATGCTCATACAATCTAGCAAGTCCAAAATCCCCTAACTTACCATTTAATTCACCATCTAGTAACACATTACTAGCCTTAACATCTCGATGTACCACGACTTGTTCATAGCCTTCATGTAAGTAAAGTAAACCAGAAGCAACCCCTTTGATAATCTTGAACCTTTGTTCCCATTTCAACACCATTTTTGGCTCATCAAACAAGAAGTTATCCAAACTTCCATTAGGCATAAACTCATACACAAGCAACAAATCACCACGACGTCTACACCATCCTAACAATTGAACCAAATTCCTATGACGAAGTCTTCCAATGCTTGCAATCTCAGACACAAATTCCCTCAACCCTTGTTTAGATTCATGAGAAATCCGTTTCACAGCGATGTCTCCTTTTGAATTTCTCAAAACACCCTTGTAAACTTTCCCAAATCCACCTCGCCCGAGTAGTTCACTCTCCCTAAAACCTCTAGTACCTTTCTTGAGTTCACGATACGAATATCTATGAGGACCAATCTCAACCTCCCACGGCTCAATCACGTCAGCATTCTTGAATCTCTGGATTATATAAAAAGCAATCAAGATTGAACATAACGCGAACACAAACACAATAATCGAGATGATGGTAATTAGTCCTGTGTGGCTCTTCTTAGATCCAGGAAGTGATGGTAATGAATCCAAATCAAGTAACTTTGCTTCTCCATTTAACTTAAAACTCCAACCCAAAATGTAATGTGAACTAGCAAGCAAACCAGTAGAAGCAGAGAACCCAACATACATATTTTCTTCAAAAATTGAAGAGACATCAAATTTATAAGATAACAGAGGAATTTTTGGTTTCAAAGAATTAGGTGAAAGAGTTACATTAACTAACTTCGTAACAGAATCATATTCTACCCAAACAAGAATGACTTTCCCACTCTTAAGATTCAAATCTTGTTTCGAATTTTGATCGTTAATAAAATATCCAGCTGCAGCTGATTTATTTGACTCTAAGCTGTTAATATTAATACCAACATGGTTATCATCAATATCACCAAACTCAAAATCACGTACTGTGTCAAATTCAACAGCAAAAATATGGTTAGAGAAGTTACCAATATCACTAGCATTGAGCAGACCTAAGTACTGACTCGGAAGAGCGGTACTAAAGTCCTTTGATGGAGAAATTGTGAATGCTAGGCCATGGCCACCGAGTTTTGGATACTCGGGGACTATGGCCAACGCGAAACACGTTGAGAAAGAGAAGGTAGAGGCATTAGTAGTAGGCTTGAAGTGGAAAGGTGAAGAGTAAAAAGCATGTCCCATTAGTCTACTTGTGTCATTTGTTAATTGAATAAACCCATTTTGGCTTATTTTTGCTACTCCACTTAAGGTTATGTTCTGATTTGGTTGATTAAATTTTGTGAAAATGAATTCATCAAGTTGAGATGAAGCAAGATTTGATAAGGTTATGGTAAAGCAGAGTAATGTGAGAAAATTGAACATTTTAAAGTAAGATATATAGAAGCAGAAGTGATGTGAATTATTCAAAAATCGAAGTTGATAAAAAGATAATACACAATAAATTTTTTTTCAAGATTTGGTGATGGGTAGTGAGATTTTTTGAGCACACGGAGTTTGAGAGAAAAGTCAAGAGAAAAAAAGAAGATGACATTTGTTGTTACAGAAGCATTATGTTCTTTTTATTTATAGAAAGTAGTATATAGTATAGTAGTAGTTTGTTATGACATCTGATGCAATGATCCACTAGTTTCATTATCACTCTAGTTGACTAAAAGAGAAAGACATTTGTCCAGCATCGTTGATGGGGTAAGGAATAATAATTTCAAAATAAAATATGAATTGTTTATGAATAACAATTTCGAAGCTAAACACAAAATTTGTTTTATTTTGTATTTGGTTGGTAGGCAAAAATATGGGACACGTAAATTCTTGGATGACTTTGATGAAAAATCTATTTAGTAAATTAAACTCAATTCAAATTAAACTGTTGTATCCCCTTAGTGAATTAAGAAAAGGAAATTCTCTACAGACCAATAATTATCTGCCTCAAATGTTTACTATACTTAAAAGTGATTTAATCGAGTTAAGAAGGCATATAAACTAATCAATATACAATATACATGTTAAAATTAATTTATGCAAATAATATTATTTATGGACAAAATATACAATCGATAGAATATTCTGTTGTTTCCTTTTTTTCCTAATTTAAATCCTAACCAAATCAAACTACAAAACCAACTAAGAAGGGAAAGTAAACACTTCTTTTGAGTTATAAACTCAATATAAATTACACTAAGAACAAAATAGCCTCTATTAATATTTTGCTCCAAACACAATTATTAATTTCTTGATCAGAAAATTTCTTGCGAAAACAATGTGTGCTTATAGACAAACTCATCGTTCTAATCACACACGCATTCATTCTTCATTCAATTATCGCAATCATCAACAACAACAACGTTATAATCAGCGTAATCAACAAAGTCATCAACAACGAGGCTATAATCAGCATAATCAACAAATTCATCATCAACAGCAACGAGGCTATAATCCGCGCCCTGATAATCAGCCTTCTAGACGACATAATCACAATGATGATAATAATTCACACGAAAATCATCAGTCCTCTGCTGAACCTGAATACTCTCCAGGTATACCATCAATTAGTCCGTACTCACACATTGATGATGTATTTGAATCTGAATACTCTTCAGGTATACCATCAATTAGTCCGTACTCACAAATTGATGATGTATTTGGGACTCTACCAATTGAGTTCAATCGGATTAGTGGAGAATTGTTTCATGATGTCCACAACTTGTTTCATCGATTAAATAGTGAGTTTCTTGCTCTATATGATGATGATGATGATGTGTTGAAGCATTTGAAAACAAGAACTCATCATGTTGTTGCTAAAGATGAAATCGATACCGAACTAGCTGAGGTAGAATCAAATATTTGTTCTATATGCCTATCTGTATACGAAAACGAAGAGAATATTGGAGCGTTGCAATGTGGACACGAATATCATACAGATTGCATCAAACCATGGCTGTTAAAGAAGAATGATTGTCCGCTGTGTAGAGGTTCAGTTTTGTAAACATACATATTAAGACTCAAGTAGACGTAGTAAAGATATTTTCCCCTGTTATTTGGAAACATTGTATGATAAGCAACAAATTATTTACACAAATAAATATAGTTGAACTTTAGCTTATCCTGTTTCGTCATATTTTCTTTGATATAACTGTTTAGTAAATGATCATCTTTTTATTTCATTTAGGAAAAATGCACAAGTATCCCTAATTTATGATCGAAATTCTATAGACACATTTATACTATACTAAGGTTTTATTATCCTGAACTTATTTCATAAATAATTTTCTATCCTTTTCGGCTTACCTGACACTAACTTGAAAAAAAATTAATTAACGTTAGCCGAAAAGAAATAGAAAATTATTAATAAAATAAGTTCAGAAAATAATAAGACCTTAATATATGAACTTTAGAAGTCTATAGTCCCTTTTCTTGTTTGACATTGTGTCGGGAGGACAGTTGAAGTCTTAAAACGTTACTTTCTTTTGTTATATATATATATATATATCTCGTAAATTGTAATATATGAAATTTATTAGATCATGATATCATAAGCTCTTTTCAACAAATTGAATAAAAGATATTTGTAGAGATCTATGGAAAAATCAAGGATATATTAATAAAAAATAATGTTGAATTACAAACTCTTTATATAGAAAAAGATTTTTATTCTAATTATATTAAGAATCTTATTATAACACAATTATTTACGTAGTATTGTATTACAAATCAAATACATTATTCTAGTTGAGCTCCTGCTCTTCAAGCTTCTTTCAACAGCTCCTACTTCTTCAAGCTTCCTTCAACAATATTTTCTTAAGAAAAATTATAATTGTCATTAAAAATTATTTGAGCACCAAACTAAATCACACTAGGAATCGAACTAAAAATCTATTTAGTAAAACATATTAATGAAAATTAACATTTGTTTTGTGTTAAACTCAATCCACATTAAACTCTATCTCCTCAGTGAATTAGCAAATTCTCTATAGACCAATAATTATCTGCCTCGAATATTTACGTCAAATTATATAAATTTGACTATACTTAAAAAGTGATTTAGTTGAGTTAAGAAGGCATATAAACTAATCAATAAACCCCAAATTAATTTATGCAAATATATATCAAACATTATTTATGGGCTAAATATATAATCTATAGAATATTCTGTTATTTCCTTTTTCCTAATTTAAATCCTAACCAAATCAAACTACAAAACCAACTAAAAAGGGAAACTAAACGCCTCCTTTGAGTTAAAAACCCAATATAAATTACACTAAGAACAAAATAGCCTCTATAAATATTTTGCTCCAAACACAATTATTAATTTCTTGATCAAAAAATTTCTTGCGAAAACAATGTGTGCTTATAGACAAACTCATCGTTCTAATCACACACGTATTCATTCTTCATTCAATTATCGCAATCATCAACAACAACAACGTTATAATCAGCGTAATCAACAAATTCAACAACAACGAGGCTATAATCCGCGCCCTAATTATCAGCCTTCTAGACGACATAATCACAATTTTCATACTAATCCACGCGAAAATTATCAGTCCTCTGCTGGACCTGAATACTCTTCAGGTATACTATCAATTAGTCCGTACTCACACATTGCTAATGTATTTGGGACTCTACCAATTGTGTTCAATCGGATTAGTGGAGAAACGTTTCATTATCTCCACTGCTTGGCTCTTCGTTTGGCTCTTCGTTTTATTGATCACTTATTCATTGAGTTTCGTGCTCTGTATGATGATGATGATGATGATGGTGATGTGTTAAAGTATTTAAAAATAAGAACTCATCATATTGTTGCTAAAGATGAAGTCGATACCGAAGTAGCTGAGGTAGAATCAAATAGTTGTTCAATATGCCTATCTGTATACGAAAACGAAGAGAATATTGGAGCGTTGCAATGTGGACACGAGTATCATACAGACTGCATCAAACCATGGCTGTTGAAGAAGAATGGTTGTCCGCTGTGTAGAGCTTCAGTTTTGTAAACACACAAATTAAGACTCAAAGTAGTAAAGACATTTACACAAATAAATATGGTCGAAATTTAGCTTAATTGGGTTGTCCTGTTTCATCATATTGTCTTCGGAATAACGTTGGGTAAATGATCATCTTTTTATTTCGTTTATAATATGTAACTTTAGAAGTCTATAGTCCTTTTTTTTTTTTTTTTTTTATGTAATTGCAAGTGTTAGGAAATCATCTAATGTTTTGTGTTAAGAGCTTGTTTGACATTGTGTCAAGAGGTCGATTAAGTGTTTGAATATATACATGTTCATCAATTATCACTATATCCCTTATTAATTAATTGACTTTATCTCATAAGTTTAATTAATTTTCATTAAAAAACATTATTTTTATTTTATATAATAATTTTATACTATTATTTATATTTTATTATGTAATTTGTAGATATATACATATATATGATATGCTGAATAATCTCAACGTTCCAATTGCTTTTTCAACTTTTTCAGGCTTTCCATTGGTTAGAACTATAAGGAAGAGAATGGATCATGTAATAGCTGTTACGATATTAAAATAAGTGTTTAACAAATATAACAAGTAATTTAAAATAAGTTAAGAAGTGTTTAGCAACTTAAAAAATAATTTAAGATAAATCAAAGCTAGATCTCTCCTTACTTTTTATTTTCTTGACTTAAAAGTTATTTTAATTTCACTTTTTATTTTTTTGATTTAAAAACTATTTTTGGGAATGTACTCGTTGAGGATCTAAACTTGTTCACATTACTTTCTTTTGTTATATCTGTTGAAATATATGAATTTTTTTAGATCATGATATCATAAGCTCTTTTTAACAAATTGTATTAAGTTTTAAATACAAAATCATAATTGTCATTAAATTTTTTTGACCCCAAATCGATTCAAAATAGGAATCCAACTAAAAACTCTTTTTAACAAATTAAATAAAGGATATTTTCTAAGCCCAAATCGATTCAAATTAGGAATCCAACTAAAATTAGTAAAATAATATTAAACTCATTCAAATTTAACTCTATTAATACTTTGCTCGAATCCAAACTATATTTGTATCCTTATTTTTTCTGCTCAAACTCAAAAAGAAGACATTATGAGTAATCATAGAGAAAATCGTTCTTCACGTAAACACACACCTATTATTTCTTCTCCCAATTATCGCAATCGTCAACAACAACGAAGCTATAATCCACGTACTTCACGGGGCCACAATCTTTGTAGTCCATATAATCATGAGGAGGTGAAAGAAGACTATCTGTTTAAGTATTTGAAAATAAGAACTTACTATACTGAAGATGAACTCGATTACGAAGTAGAATCAGAAATTTGTGTTATATGCCAATGTGAATTTGAAGACGAAGAGAGCATTGGAGAACTGCATTGCGGACACAAATATCATACAGATTGCATCAAACAATCGCTGCTGAACAGGAAAGTTTGCCCCATATGCAAAGCAAGAGCTTTGCGTTTTACAGATCGTTTGATGTGAAAGATAATTTTATTTTGATTTTAGTCAATTTTGAGAATTGTTTTTTTCTTCTTCTTATTTTGTATGAGAGACACAAGTTTTTAGTATAAAACATTTAACTTGTGTTAGACGTCCAATTTAGACTTTTAAAAGTTAAAAGGTAATTTTAAGATTCTTTTACTAAATTTGCATAGTTACTTACACTCTTAGATTGTGACTCAAACAAGTTGACTCATCTAGACTTCTCCGGCAATCAGCCAGACTTTTCTGATGACTCCAAAATCCAACCAATACGTATTTCTTTTCCTTTCTTGTTCTTCAAACTTTAGTGCTCCTTGTACCTCTATTTTTATTTTTCAGTGTTTTGACTTTTCCTCTATTATGCTTTATATTATGGGCAACTTTCACATATAGCAAACAAAAAATTCATATTTGTATGCTATAGCAAACTTTGCATAATTGCGCTCCATAGCAAACATAAAACTGTATAATTCGCTGGCCTATTTCGCTGCAATTGTATAATTTGTTTTGCATACAGTTGAATCTAATTAAAATGTATGTATATTGTATAATTATAAGTGTATAGCAAGAAGATATATGTTTTTCTCGCTTTATACAAAACAGAAACACAATATATACACTTCTGTTGTATAAAGCTAGAGAAAATTATATTTCACTGCAATCGTATAATTCTCAATTGTATAATTCGTTGGTCTTTTTCTCTGCAATATTTGAAGTAAAATGTTTGTAAATTGTATAATTAAGTGTATAACATGAAGATATACATTTTTCCATGTGTATATACAATTTTCTCTCGCTTTATACAAAACAGAAACAGAATTATACACTTCTGTGTATAAAGCGAGAGAGGCGAGCGAGAATGGAGAGTGGCGAGCGAGATTTTTGGGAGAGAAATGCTGGCAAATTTTAGCTAATGTTTGCTAGGGAGCACAATTAAATCAAACCCTAGCTATTCCATTTAATTTAGGTTATTAGTTTGCTATTATATATAATTTTTCCAAAATATTTTCCTTACGATTGGGCTTATAAGTGGACTCTGAACAAGTTCTCAACATTGGACATTTTGTGGAATGGGCTTAAATTATCTGACCAAGAAGGCTTAGAATGGACCTCTAGTTTTAATAGGATTTCTAACATATTTTTCTACTCCGTCAAAAATTATATTCGCTAGCTAAATATATTCTTTTTTGTGTATAAAATTATGGAAATATATTATTTATTATAAGAAAAATATACTTTATTTAACGTTGATTTAGTGGACGGCTATACAGTATAAAAATATTGTTTTAATATGCTCTATTGACCTCCGGTCATTATGGAAAAATTTACAATTGCAAAACATAATATATTTAAATGTAATTTCTGACAATCAGTAGTTGGCAAAAAAACATGAAGAAAAAACAAATAACAAAAAATTGTAGAACTTAATTGAATGCCACATGTTTCATTCTCGATTTTCAATGCTTAAAAATTTTAAATTAATTTTATTTTCATAAATTTCATAATGTAAAACTAGGTGCATAAAGTCAAATGATTAGGTGGATATCTAAATTTGAAGATGATCTTGAGAGTTTTAGGAAGAAGAAAAAAAGTCTCATTTAACATTAACTATTCACCTTATTATTTACTTTTATTTTCACACAATGAAATCATAAATAGAAGAAATATAATTTTTAAATAATTATTTATAAAAAAATAAATAATTAATAAGTGATGGCGAAACTCTCTCACGTTATAAGTGTATGATCAAATTGTAATAATTACTCTCCGAGCCCAAATGTGGAAGCTAAAAATGACGGTAGATCTAAATCTGCACCATGTGATGCTTCATAGACTAGGTTTTAGCTAATTAATTAGATAATTAGAATTATGATTAGGAGGGGATAAAAAAAGATAAGAACATGACTAACCAAATCATTTGGATTCGATTATTTTTAATCAAAATGATAATTACTTAATTGTTAGAGTCAAAGATGCATCACTAAACAATGCAAGAGTAATTAAGGTATACAAAATAAACAAAACATTCAAATTTAGCCTCAACTCCAACATAATAACATTGACATTTAAAGTTTATATTTACACACTTCAACTCGTTTAAAATAATTATCTAGATTATAGACACCTATAAAATTTATATGTCACGTCAATGTTGGGTGTCCACGAGAGGACGAGTTGGAGTGTCTCTTTGATAGTTAACACCAGTTTGAGGTGTACTCTAGACGTGCACTCTCAAAGTTGGACGGCTTAATATATTTGGCTGGCAAAGATGATTAGTTGCGTCAATTTTAAGCACCTTTTAGTTTTATACTGAAATTAGGTCCTTTTAAAAGTAGTGTTATTTTGCATCAAAACTCATATTCTTGAAAAAACATGGAAAGTGAAAAGTGTCAATGTTCAAAATATCAAAAATTTATGTATAATGAGAAAAGTCCCAAAACCTGGCCTGAATTGGTTGGGGTTTTAGGTGATGAAGCTGCAAAGGTGATTCAAGCTGAGATTCCAAATTTACAAATCATCCAAATCATTCATCCGCCATGGGCGTTGACTCAGGATTTATGTGACTCAAGAGTTCGAATTCTTGTTGATCGTTTCAACAGAGTCAGTATGCCTCCAAGCATCGGTTGATCATCTACGATTTGATCTCCTTTTAGTGCAAACCAATGCGCGTTGTTATAATTGTGGATTGTGATGAGATAGTTTACTTGTTTTCTCTCGAGTCCTTTGTTTTGATTTTACCTAAAAAGTTTGGTTGTATGTAGTGTGTCAATTTGTGTTTGTAACTTGTAAGGATTGTGTTTCTATGTATTGGAAATGAAGTTATGTTTGATAAACATTTGATCCTAACAACTAGTACTCCTGGCTCGGTTTTTATTCTATCATTTACCCTTTTGCAATAACTATGCAACATAACATAGAATTATTGGTATCTTTTATTCATATTTACACAAGAAAAAAGAATTAGGAGAACTGGAAAAAAGCAAATCAATAAACAGTATTTGTATAAAAAAAAATGATTTCTTATTCACAATCCAATGAATCCTATCTAATATGTGACATGTTCTAACTATAATAAATTTTCCAAAGTTTTCAAGAACAACAAATCACGATTCGCTCCATTGTCGATTCTCACACTTGCAAATGCAACTCAATCCGACTAAAATATCAGCAATGGCAGCTTCCGTCTTCTCTTTATCCGAAAAATGCAATGTTTGCAGCAACAACACAGAAGGTTTGATATCGAACTTTGTCTTCTCTAAGTTTCTTTCAAGCTGCCAATTGATAGTGTTATGAGCCATTGGCGCTAACCATTCCATAATTTGCTTCAATGCATCCCTCCACCCCTCAGCTAACGACTCGTCCTCATCCATACACTTCAAATTCTTGCTCAATTTCGATCTCACTGTTTTCTTCAGATTCACTGGCAACATTTGATACAAATTTTCTCGTGAACTTAGGTCTACGGATTCAGATGGATTCGAATACTTCTCTACCAATGTGATCACATTTGCATAACGCAACGCTAGCCCTGCACCTCCTACAGTTAATGGCCCTGCTGCGTGAAACACCCTGTTGTTTTTCGCCAATTTGTCTACCCCAAAACCTTCGTCTTCACATAAGAAAAATATGGATTTTCTGCTGTAAAATCGAACCAGAGTTGGCTTAGACGTCGTGGGGATTGGTCCAGACCGCGAAATGATCTGTTCCCTAATAGGCTCAATCAAACAATTCTCAGGCTGAACTTTGAGAATCTCTTTCTGCTGCGATGAACGCATGTTACGCAACGATAGTGAAGGAAGAATCGGTATGTAAGGTCCAAACACAATGCAAATACGAGCATATATTATACAGACGATTCGCGCCATGTGACCAACGCTTTTATCAAATGTTTGATTCCATAATGAGTTTTCCCTAAATTGACGAACTTGTTTCCTCTGTTGTTCAAGTTTCTGATGAAACACATCCAAATTCACCTTCTGCAACCGCCCTGAACCTTTTCGTTCCGTCCATTGTTTCATTTTCCGTTCGGATACCTCCAATTCCGCTAAACTCTCCAATGCTGCGTACAATCCAGACGTAGCGTTAATCAATTTCTCCATTTTGAAAACACGTTTCTCAATATCTTTGGATCCGTATTCCAATTTACCAAAATCAATAATCCCTAATTTCAAATCGGTATACACAAGATCAAATCGATTCAGGCCAAAATCAGTGCATTTATGGCCTAATCTAGATACAGCTGCAGCGGCTTTATCAAGATC